GATGACATCCGGGACCCGACGCCAATGTTTTTGTAATTGGTTAATTGATAAAGTAGCGCTGAACGCGCAAGTCGGGGTGCTCAAGTGTCAATAATTACGATTGTATTCACCCCCATCAAAACCACCCAGGCGTTTTAAAACTACCGTTTGATAACGTTTATAACGGTATCCAGTGTTTCAGGGGTATTGTGCCCCACTCAGCGGCCCGCCGACCGTGAGGTGGGCTCTTCCAACGGTGCTTCGTGTCTGATGTAATACGGCATTCAACTGTCTCTAACATGGATTGTTAACAAACCTGGGAACCAGCCGCCTGAAAATGAATATCATCATTCCGGTGTGTGACTGATGATTTATTAAAAGGATATTATTTAGAAATGTCAAGGATGGTCACACGATAGTGTATTATGCAGCGATAGAACCGAGACTCATATTTGATCAAGTTGTACTTATTAATGATTTTAAATAGTCACCTGACTTCTTCCAATGTTATTCGTGTCGTTCTTCCCTTCCATTGGGTAATATACAAACTGTCATACTTTGATTTGGCAAACAACGAAACCTCGTTAAACCGGACTCTCAATATTCCGGTCGAAAGCTGTTGGTAACCTTTATATTAATACATAAAGGTGTGACTTGTTAATCCGAAAACATGGCAGTCCCGACAACTTTACTGTAAAACGTATGGTCCTGTGCAACTTGGTTTAAATGAAGTTTAAACTTTTTTTAAAGATATATTTGAATCATTACACTGTGCAGTATTTTGGATTAAAAGAGTTCTTCATGAGTTCCATTTTCCCTGAATGTGACATTGCAAAGTTCAATGTTTCATGATCTGTGAATCTCACACTATCATAATTTTGTAAACTTCGGTCAGAGAATATGGATTGTCAAGCCCTGCGTGATGTTCTGTGTGATGTCTGAGGAGTTTCCACGTGTGCGATGATTTTACGTTTGATTCATAACTCTTTACAGCATCGATGTCTCCCTTGCTCCCGGTGATAGCGTGTACACTTATTGTACGCTTTGTCTGTCGTACTGTCTCCAGAACCATCTCTGATTGGCGTTTCGTCACAGGGACCGCTCACCCCACACGCCCATCCTTCTACCCGTGTTTCTGAATGTCCAACTGTCAACCCCTCCCACATACACGTGTTTCTCAATGTCTGGCTGTCCACCCCTCCTATATACCCGTGTCTGAATGTCCAACTGTCAACCCCTTCCACATACACGTATTTCTCAATGTCTGACTGTCCACCCCTCCTATATACCCGTGTCTGAATGTCCAACTGTCAACCCTTCCCACATACACGTGTTTCTCAATGTCTGACTGTCCATCCCTCCTATATACCCGTGTCTGAATGTCCAACGTCAACCCCTTCCACATACACGTGTTTCTCAATGTCTGACTGTCCACCCCTCCTATATACCCGTGTCTGAATGTCCAACTGTCAACCCTTCCCACATACACGTGTTTCTCAATGTCTGACTGTCCATCCCTCCTATATACCCGTGTCTGAATGTCCAACGTCAACCCCTCCCACATACACGTGTTTCTCAATGTCTGACTGTCCACCCCTCCTATATACCCGTGTCTGAATGTCCAACTGTCAACCCTTCCCACATACACGTGTTTCTCAATGTCTGACTGTCCACCCCTCCTATATACCCGTGTCTGAATGTCCAACTGTCAACCCTTCCCACATACACGTGTTTCTCAATGTCTGACTGTCCACCTCTCCTATATACCCGTGTCTGAATGTCCAACTGTCAACCCTTCCCACATACACGTGTTTCTCAATGTCTGACTGTCCACCCCTCCTATATACCCGTGTCTGAATGTCCAACTGTCAACCCCTCCCACATACACGTGTTTCTCAATGTCTGACTGTCCACCCCTCCTATATACCCGTGTCTGAATGTCCAACGTCAACCCCTTCCACATACACGTGTTTCTCAATGTCTGACTGTCCACCCCTCCTATATACCCGTGTCTGAATGTCCAACTGTCAACCCTTCCCACATACACGTGTTTCTCAATGTCTGACTGTCCATCCCTCCTATATACCCGTGTCTGAATGTCCAACGTCAACCCCTCCCACATACACGTGTTTCTCAATGTCTGACTGTCCACCTCTCCTATATACCCGTGTCTGAATGTCCAACGTCAACCCCTCCCACATACACGTGTTTCTCAATGTCTGACTGTCCACCCCTCCTATATACCCGTGTCTGAATGTCCAACTGTCAACCCTTCCCACATACACGTGTTTCTCAATGTCTGACTGTCCACCTCTCCTATATACCCGTGTCTGAATGTCCAACTGTCAACCCTTCCCACATACACGTGTTTCTCAATGTCTGACTGTCCACCCCTCCTATATACCCGTGTCTGAATGTCCAACTGTCAACCCTTCCCACATACACGTGTTTCTCAATGTCTGACTGTCCACCTCTCCTATATACCCGTGTCTGAATGTCCAACTGTCAACCCTTCCCACATACACGTGTTTCTCAATGTCTGACTGTCCACCCCTCCTATATACCCGTGTCTGAATGTCCAACTGTCAACCCCTCCCACATACACGTGTTTCTCAATGTCTGACTGTCCACCCCTCCTATATACCCGTGTCTGAATGTCCAACGTCAACCCCTTCCACATACACGTGTTTCTCAATGTCTGACTGTCCACCCCTCCTATATACCCGTGTCTGAATGTCCAACTGTCAACCCTTCCCACATACACGTGTTTCTCAATGTCTGACTGTCCATCCCTCCTATATACCCGTGTCTGAATGTCCAACGTCAACCCCTCCCACATACACGTGTTTCTCAATGTCTGACTGTCCACCTCTCCTATATACCCGTGTCTGAATGTCCAACTGTCAACCCTTCCCACATACACGTGTTTCTCAATGTCTGACTGTCCACCTCTCCTACATACACGTGTTCCTGAACGTTTTGTCTATTCACACCTCCTATATATCCGTGTTTCTGAATGTCTGACTGTCAACCCCTCCAACATACCCGTGTTTCTGAATGTCTGACTGTCCACCCCTCCTACATAACCGTGTTTCTGAATGTCTGACTGTCCACCCCTCCTACATACCAGTGTTTCTGAATGTCTGAATGTCTGACTGTCCACCCCTCCTACATACCCGTGTTTCTGAATGTCTGAATGTCTGACTGTCCAACCCTCCTACACCCCAGTGTTTCTGAATGTCTGACTGTCTTCCCTTCCTACATACACGTGTTTCTGAATGTCTGACTGTCCACCCCTCCTACATACACGTGTTTCTGAATGTCTGACTGTCCACCCCTCCTACATACCCGTGTTTCTGAATGTCTGACTGTCCACCCCTCCAATACCCGTGTTTCTGAATGTCTGACTGTCCACCCCTCCAATACCCGTGCATACCCTTATTTCTGAATGGCTGACTGTCCACACCTCCAGTACCCGTGTATACCCGTGCTTCTGAATGTCTGACTGTCCACCCCTCCAATACCCGTGCATACCCGTGTTTCTGAATGGACTGACTGGTCACACCTCCAGTACCCGTGTATACCCGAGTTTCTGAATGTCTGACTGTCCACCTCTCCTACATACCCGTGTTTCTGAATGTCTGACTGTCCATCCCTCCTACACCCCAGTGTTTCTCGATGTCTGACTGTCCTCCCTTCCTACATACACGTGTTTCTGAATGTCTGACTGTCCACCCCTCCTACATACCCGTGTTTCTGAATGTCTGACTGTCCACCCCTCCTACACACACGTGCTTCTGAATGTCTGACTGTCCATCCCTCCTACATACCCGTGTTTCTGAATGTCTGACTGTCCCTCCCTCCTACATACCCGTGTTTCTGAATGCCTGACTGTCCACCCCTCCTACATACCCGTGTTTCTGAATGTCTGACTGTCCACACCTCCTACATACCCTTGTTTCTAAATGTCTGACTGTCCACCCCTCCAATGCCCGTGTATACCCGTGTTTCTGACTGTCCACCCCTCCTACATACCCGTGTTTCTGAATGTCTGACTGTCCACCCCTCCAATACCCGTGCATACCTGTGTTTCTGAATGTCTGACTGTCCACCCCTCCAATACCCGTGCATACCCGTGTTTCTGAATGTCTGGCTGTCCAACCCTCCAATGCCCGTGCATACCCGTGTTTCTGAATGTCTGACTGTCCACCTCTCCTACATACCCGTGTTTCTGAATGTCTGACTGTCCACACCTCCTACATACCCGTGTTTCTAAATGTCTGACTGTCCACCCCTCCAATGCCCGTGTATACCCGTGTTTCTGAATGTCCACCCCTCCTACATACCCGTGTTTCTGAATGTCTGACTGTCCACCCCTCCAATACCCGTGCATACCCGTGTTTCTGAATGTCTGACTGTCCACCCCTCCAATACCCGTGCATACCTGTGTTTCTGAATGTCTGACTGTCCACCCCTCCAATACCCGTGCATACCCGTGTTTCTGAATGTCTGGCTGTCCAACCCTCCAATGCCCGTGCATACCCGTGTTTCTGAATGTCTGACTGTCCACCTCTCCTACATACCCGTGTTTCTGAATGTCTGACTGTCCACCCCTCCAGTACCCGTGTATACCCGTGTTTCTGAATGTCTGACTGTCCACCCCTCCAATACCCGTGTATACCCGTGTTTCTGAATGTCTGACTGTCCACCCCTCCAATACCCGTGCATATCCGTATTTCTGAATGTCTGACTGTCCATCCCTCTTACATACCCGTGTTTCTGAATGTCTGAATGTCTGACTGTCCACCCCTCCAATACCCGTGTATACCCGTGTTTCTGAATGTCTGACTGTCCACCCCTCCAATACCCGTGTATACCTGTGTTTCTGAATGTCTGACTGTCCACCCCTCCTATATACCCGTGTATACCCGTGTTTCTGACTATCCACCCCTCCTACATACCCGTGTTTCTGAATGTCTGACTGTCCACCCCTCCAATGCCCGACCGTCAACCCTTCCTACCTGTGTTTCTGTCAGGTCAAGGTTGTTGGCGAGATCACGTCTGTCCTGCCCAACTGCGTAGTGGTTGCTGCCAAACGCCCGCTCCAGCTTCAGGAGTTGGGAAGGGGTGAAGGCCGTCCTGTTCCTTTTTGGTTTCCTCCAGGAAGGGAAGAAAATGGCAGGAGATGCATCTGAAAGCAGCAATCCTTGTATGTACGCTATCTCTGCAATATCCATCTAGTATTTTCCTTTCTGGTCCCAAGATTGGGAAACAAACTTGAAATTCATTTTTATACTAAACCGTTCCAATCCATGCACACATAGCATCATGTCATAATCCCATCTGCTACTTGTAGTTTTGATTAACTTCAAATACCATTCTTCCTTTGCCTGACTACACAATCCACAAAACCCCCATTCCATAATCCGTAGATATTTCTTCTAAAAACAGACTCGTTGCATAAACCATTGCAATAAAAAGCTGTATATTGCAATCGAAATAGGGAATATTCTCTAAAACGAAACTTGAGTCATTCGACTAATGGCCATTTTGGAACTGATGGTCACTTCCACATTGAGTTTAATATTAGCGTCCATTCCATTTTCTCGGTGGCCCATTTGTCTGAGGCGCCGCGATTCGCTGTGCAGAGTTGCGTCCCTTGGGCACGCCAGAAACCTATGATTGTGGGTTCGAATTCCAGTTCGCCCCGATTATGTTTGTGGGTTTGTCAGCACCCTACCCGTGCTCATGGTTTCACCGAAGTGGTAAACGTCTGAGACCTGCATCACATCGGGCTTTCCTCCCACATTGAGCTGACACGCCGTGACATAACTGGAATAATGTTAAAAGCGGCGTTAAACCCAACTCACTCACTCACCCTAAGGCGCCACAATTCGATGTGCAGAGTTGCGTGCCTTGGGTACCCATGGAAACTACAACCGTGGGTTTGAATTGCGCTTCGCCCGGATAATGTTTTTAGGTTTGTCAGCACGGTACAATACTCATGCTTGTGGTTTTCACCCAAGTGTTAAACGTCTGAGACCTGCAACACTTTGGCGGACTTTCCTCCCACATTAAGCTGACACGCCTATACCGATAAAAGCTGCGTTAAACCCAACTCACTCACTCCATTTTATCAGTGGCTCAAATATCGTCGTCTTGTAAGAGTACAAGGTGTGTGTTCTGCTGTCTTTAATCTGCGATTGCAGAACGTTAAACTACCAATAAATCAAGGAATCATTTATTTGTGATGTGATTTGCTTTATAAAAGAAAGCTTGACGCCTGTTCCCCACCAGCGGTTTATATAATGAGGAGGGAGCCCTTTAACTACATTATACTATTGATGACGAATAAGAAGTCGTTATTGCTCTGTTAATCCTCGTTTCAAGGGTATACAAGGTCTATTATTTCACATGATCAAAGCTTAACTCGTTTCAGACTTCGTCTAATACTGCCACTTGTCGATCAATAATAGAGTCTTGGTTTTCTTTGACTTGTCAAGAGATTTATGACGGCGCGTGGGCCTCAACCGAAGCATAGAAACACCATGTAGCTGATACCCAATCTCAAATATCAACTAAGTGGGAAATATGTAGAGGTAATGCAAAAAATAAGCCCATTTACTGTTATCCAACACCTGGGTACGGACTTCTAATGCATTACGTGTGCGGGTGTGACAATCAGTCAATCTGGCAGTCCCCCAGAGTTGCAGGTGCTGCCTAACATCGATAGCCCAGAACAGTTCCTTGGTGCATACTCGCCCCTCTGCCCAGACCTCTGTCTTATCTACGCAACCTCATTGTCAACTGCACGTCCCGAGGCTTTTAGCTTATCTCGGCAAACTGCTACATTTCAGAGAAAATTGGTGATAATTAGGCAAATTCTTGATCGTAATGAGCAAATATAAGAGTGAGAACGAACACCTCTTATTCACGGCTAAGCGCAGTAAATTGCTGTGGCGCTAAGAAGCTAGGGCAGAAGGATTCGGCGTAGTAATTACGCGGATTGAGACAGTGTCAACGGAGTTGTAACCCGGCTTGTGGCGTGATACAAGTGACAAGTTCTGCCTTGTACATGTCAGTAAGACTGGGCCCCGCATGCTTCCCACGTGCTCACGAAACGCATTAAAGTCGTCCGTGTCAAATCAATTTCGTGAGCAAACAAATCAGGAAAATAAATGTGGATTTCTTTTTAAGATGCATCACGTTCGTAGAAATATAGTTAGCATAAATAACAGTATACCGTTCCAGTTTTTGTCGTATATATTGCCTGCAGTCTTTCAGACACTCCCACCTATTTATAAGAACAATTATATTCTTAATTTACACAGGGCCGATGTGGTTTCGGAGCACGTACTATCACTGATAAGAAAATGTGAGAAATGTATTTTGAGGATAAAGGATCGGTTAACGCTGATGGTTTATGGGTTATGGCTGATTTTTTATTGCGCTTAATTATTAACAAACACGTCTTAATTAATATAGACCGAATACTTATTGTGGTGGAGCGTCTGCCCGGAGAGCGGAAGGTCTGGGGTTCGATCCCCGGCCGCGTCAAACCAAATGACGTTAAAAGATGGTACTTGTTGCCGTGTCTGGCGTTCGGCATAAGGGGCGAAAACAAGGACTGGATGGCCCGGAGTGAGTATACTGTGTCTGAGTGGGGTATTCATGTTAAACTGCGGCATAGTATCTCAATGAGCTAGCACTATAAAATCAGCAGTCACACGCACACATGCATACACGTCGCGATATAGATGCTATAATCTTGAACGCGACATCAAACCCCATTTCACACCCACCTTCATGAATACAATCAGGTATACATACACATGTACGTGATTAATGAAATACATTTTGTTACAATTTAGAAAGAAGTTTATGTGTACCAAACAACATTTCCTGGTCAGTGAGTGAATGCTGTCCACGCTCTATATCTATATTTCAGCTATATCACGGTGACCTGTTAATAAGCTCAGCCCTGTGAAGCTTCGGGTCAGAATAGGTCTTCAGCAACCCATGCTTGCCGTAAGAGGCAACTATGCTTGTAGTAGGAGGCGACTAACGGGATCCGTTGATCAGGCTCGCTGACTTGGTTGATGCATGTTTTCGTATCCCAGTTGCGTAGATCGATGCTCATGACGTCAATCAATCGATTGTCTGGTCATGATTCGATTATTATCAAACCGCCGTCATACAGTTGGATTATTGCTGAGTGCGGCCTCGAACAATAAACAAAACAAATAATAATCTCCTCAGGTAAACTACTGATTGATGACATGAACAACAATCCACGCCGTCGGGCACGGTAACGTACAATGCGTCAGATCCCAGTATCAATGTAACTATAGCCTATAGCCTTCATAGCCTAGGACAATCAGAGGCACCCGGGAACCTATTCCGGAATCAGTTGCCGAAATAAATCATAGGAACAATCATGGATAATAAAACACATGTTAGATGATTTCACTTTGACGTTGTACATACACGCATACCAATGTCCATTTATATATAAACGCCAAACAACAATCGTTAGACACCGCGTTCAAGATTATTGCAATCGTAGAGCGACGTGTGCCACCACCAGGCTTCCGTTCTTCTGGCTCTATCCACTAGATCACGGAGGCGGTCAACAACATTCGGACAACCCCGAATCGGACACGAGGTTGGACGTGCACTAACTCTGTGTTTTTTAATAATAATAATAATAATAATAATATTAAAAAAATAATAATAATAAAAATAAATAAATAAATAAATAATAATAATAATAATAATAATAATAATAATAATAATAATAATAATAATAATGTGCCAGGATCACCAAAACCCTCTCTGTTGCTATTATATATTTTAATCTGTATATTATGATAATAATTAAAGCGATAAAACCCTTTCTATAGGGACCAGAAAAAATACTAACTTTCGAACTCTGGTCATGTTTGACTCATGCTAAATGAAGATTTCTTACGGTTGTGTATGAACCGTGAAGATCCGGGTTGGAATCGGTCTTGAGCAACCTAGCTCTTCGTAAAAGGCGACTAACGAATCGGGTAGTCAGGCTCGCTGACTTGATTGATGCATGTTATCGTATCCCAGTTGTGTAGATCGATGCTCATGAAATCACTGGATTGTCTGGTCCAGATACGATAATTTACAGATCGCTGTCATATAGCTGGAATATTTCTAAGTGCGGCGTATAACAAAAAAACAATCATCCAAAAAAAAACCGTCGCGCATCTTACCAGTTACACCAACCATGTTGTTCATGATCTGAGACTGAATGTCCCAGAGTCCAGTCAACCTTGTACCGGATGTGACGTCATCAGTTGATACTCCTAGCATGGCATCCGGGTATCGGTGCCCTGCATCCTCGTGACATAGCATACCAGTAGATGTGAGGAGAGATGGCCATTGAGCAGCTCCTGTGAATCTCAGCATATCACCATGGCAACATCTGCCTTCATACACACCGTCGCCATGCATTTCCGGTCCAAAATGAGACCCATGTTCCCGTAGATATGGTCCTGAATAGGGTATATCATCTCTCATGGGGTACATGGGTCTTGGAATAGCAAGTGCTGGTCGAGTGGTCGCCAGTTTAAGGTACACGGAGGTTAAACGTTCATTAACGTTAAGTTCATCTTTGATAAAAATGTCATCTTTGTTTGCAAAACGATCTCCGTTGTTAGATTTGTTGCTTGTAGAGTCTGATATACACAAACATTTACCCTTATCATCCCTCTTAGCTTCCAGTAAGGCATCAATGGTAAACTTCATTTTCTGTTCTTTTGCCTTCCCTGCCACCATGTTGATAACACCACACCTCAATTAGTAAATCTCAGCGAGACGTTCCATCTTGAGCAAAGGTTCCAAAACTAACCCCTCCTTCTGATCCAACTCTTGCAAGACAACAAGTGTCCACTGTCCCACCCTTCTCTGCCCTGTGTCCACTCAGCTAACGCAGGGCAAATGTCACCCTTGTTGTTATAAGCCGCTGTCCCTCTGACCCCATCAGCTGTGTTGTCTGGGCAGTGTGACATGGGACCGACTGTTTACACGTACCCCGCTACCTGTAAATCATCCCGGGGCTTGTACCTTCCCCATGTGCCGGCAAATATTATACCCTTTCATTAGTGTATATGGTCTCTGATTAATCATTCTCTGAGAGTATTGCAGTATATGTACGAATGTCATTACTGTTTGTAAAGCACTCCCTGACCTGATATATCTAATAAAATTTTTTAAATTTTTTTATGACCGTGATGTAAACATAAAACGTCAACGACAGAGAATAACCAGTATCGATTATCCAAAGAAACATATTCCTATGAGTGCAAAGGCAGAATAGTGGTGAAATTATAGGAATGGATCACTGAAAATCACGAAAAGGGTAAGCATGCATAAAAAAAGTAAACAGTTGTCCTGCCACGCGACGGCGGCTTGTCAACAAACCAAACAATCAAGTGATGATCTAGAAATAAGGTCACACGATGGCGCATTTAATGATTTGGTTGAAATTAAAAATGCTGTGTTTATTTCTAATTACGTCTGCTGGGTTCAGGCACAATAATTCTAATGCTTATACGTAACGGTTACTTTCCTCATACAAGTTGTACATGTACGCGTACACTGCTACTTTAAGAAGGACTTAGATAAAAATTATAATAATTAGCGCATTTATAATGCGCCAGATTCCATTCACCAAGTGGATGCCCATAGCGCTACACTATTATTACCCCGGTCAATGGATCAGTGAGCACTGAATTTTCATTCTCAGCTCCCTGGGGAGCATACAACCAAAGCTGCCGGTGAGGCGCTAGAAGGTTAACAACCACATTACCATCTCATTGTACCGGGTACCCACCCACTGCTGGGTGAACAGAGGCACATTTCGAACAAAGTCACTTGTGTTACATGTGCTTCAGTGTGGGGCAGGACCGAAGCCCTAGAAACTCTCAGGAGTCAAGCTGCTGGACGTGGTCACCCATCCATCTACTCCCCGAGACCGATGTTGCTTAACTTCACAGGACCACATGCCACTATCAGGAGATGCTCTCTTCTCAAACATGAGGACACCATGGTTTGCAAATATTGGATGAAAATAAATACAATGTTATTAGATAGAAAAAATGTTTCTTTTCGAATACGCACACGGGAAACGTGTTTTATGTGTTTTTGTTCTGAAGTTTTCTTAATGTCTTCACAGAATCTCAAAGCAGAAATATTTGTTGTTTTTCAGATTGTGTTATGGGTTGGTCACGTCTACTAGTAAGCTACATAAATGTAGCGACATCGAAATTCATTCTGATCCAGGAAACCAGAATAAACACAATTCCAAACTAGATAATGGTATTCCAAAATACAAAATTAATTATAAATGTGTTTTGGCTTATACGCAAGGACAGTTTTGACATAGGCGCACCTTTGTTCGTAATAATAATGAATGACTACTTCATTATTCCTAAAGGAAATATCACAGCCTGCCATTTTTGCACTGTCATTGCTGGTTTAGTTTATATAAGTTACTTGTGTAACATTTCACCTCGCGATTGATTTTAAAGCTTTTAATCTCGGTTCATGGGTCACGATGAATCGCCAATTTGTTAAATAAATGTAATCATGAAGTACTTTAGTCGTCATAATGAAGCTTTATTGAGAGGAACAGCGCGTGCATTATCCACTCCGTCGGCTACACCGGTAGCCATCACCGTATCCTCACTCTGTTATACAGGGAAATCGGCAGTTAGTAGTGCAAGCATGTGACATCACAATGCGCCAGTGGAGGGAGAGTAGACTACCATTTCAGACAGGCAGTCGGAACAAACAAAAAATTAGGCTTAAAAGTTCCCTATGGGTCTCGGCAAATTACGACAATTTACGGTTTCCTTCGGAAAGGGCTTCATCCACAAGACCCTAGTTATGAAATAGCCGTGATATTAGGGACCTTTATTCATAAAAGCATGTAATTATATTAGATCCTCTTACACCGAAGAAGATCAAAGTCGTCCGAGCAATGGTGGCTATTAGAACAAACTTCCTCTTCACTAGAGCTGGTGCAATTAGTTTAACGATTCTATCATCTCAAAGAAATCTATTCCATCCGCATATGGAAAGACACGGAATACATGTTGACAAAAGAAAATTTTGAATACGCTTATCTGTTAATAGTGTATTTAGAGGCCGGCCGGCCTGTGTATTAGACGTTATTAAGGCGGTTTATAACATAATGATGTATGCATTTCGGTCTTTGCAAACCGGAAGTCTGTACAAGGGACTTGCGCAGGAGTCGAGTAGCGCGTTCTGCCAGCACGCAAAACAAACATGGCCAGATTGATGCGCAAATGGAATACTGTTTTCCTCAAAACAACCAAACGGTTTTAAAAGGTTTACTTATAATCTGGTAAATACAATTTCCAGCTCTATGCCATGGCGATATGAGACGTAGCAAAACATTGACTATGAAGTTCGCTTTGATTCGCGTTCGCCGCACTGAATAGGGACCGGAGGAGAACGTCGGTGTACTTTTGATGTGGGGATATGAGTTAGGTAGCTTTTTGTCTGGAATCCCGTCTCAGATTCATCATCACGCAAATGAAGCAAACATAACCAAACTCGTCTAGCGTCGTTTACTTTTCACGCTAAGCGGAAATCTTTGATGTCGTGTTCACTCGATAACTTTTAAGTAAAAAATCAAAAGAAAACATGATAATCATGTGCCTGAATTAATTTTTATCTGAGGTCTGACTTATTGTGACTGGTTGAGGCGATTGGTTTGAGAGGGTATCAACAGCCCTGACGGTTACAAGAATAGTCCCGCGGTCGTATGGTGGGGCTGATGAATCAATTAGAAGGACGGGGATGTGCAGATGGTGTGAGGGATGGGGTCACATTGGTAGCAAAGCAGACTGATACAACTGAATAATTTCGTCACACAATGTTTCTTGATTTCGTAACATATATTTTTCGATAATATCTAATGTGTGGTCATTTGATACTTTTATACAAATAGTTAAACCTGTTAGTCGAAGATAATTGAAAGTGTGCCACGGTAAACAAAGTTCTGATGTAAGAAAGAAACGTGTGCGAATAGGCCTTCTTCCAGGATAATAAAGTATAATCGTTTAAAATTATATTTCAAACTAAGCACAAGCTAACGAGGTTTCACTTTCTTTAATTACTTTAAAACACTTTTGATAGTGTTTCCTTCATCAATTTATTCTAAAAAAATGTACGAACGATTTCATATTGCCGTCATGGACTGACATTGAGCATATATTGACAGAATATATTGCAACCAATCAACACATTGAAAGTAAGGTCACCAATCATATGCCCGAGAACAAAGTAATTTAACTAACATGAAATCTCGTACAAACCGAGATACAAATGACACTGTCGACGTCCATATTTGCTACAGCCATGTATTTTGTACATTTCGTCACGAATGGCTGCAATGTAATATACCATTAGTTACTTATTCACTGCTGTATTATGCGTGTTTATTCGAGAAAAAATGTTTTATTAGAAACAGAAATACACTTGCATTAGATAAGAAAACTGTCGTTTGAAGACATTAACAACATACGCTTCGTTTGACAGTATGATGTTTCCATTTTCCGCATCTTGAGCCATAAATCATATCCGGCCGATGCGGTCTTCAGACACGAGCCGTGCACCCTTGTTCGGCATCACCTAACCAGTAAACTGCCATGTTTTCGTTTATTAAAGGTAAACACACACACGAACCTCAAAGCCCCAGAGATGATACGTACGAGTCATAAACCGGCGTTAATGAAGACATATATCCCATACAGATCCAGGTTCGTATTTCAAACACCCTTTTGACATTGTTAACGTTAATGTAGACGAAGCTCCGAACAAGGCACCGGCCACGTGTTGTCAAAGTCGTTGCTGACCCTGCATCGTTCCTGTAGCGAATTTCTGACCTACCCTGGGTGGGGAGCGCGGATCTAAGTGGGAGTCACTTTACAATCGCATTGCTCTATTTTCTACTCATTAAAGGCGCTAATAATTGACAAGGTTTGCTCAAAATGTTAATTCAAGTCGTTTCTGTTCTCAACGTGTGAAATGATAGTCCGGCATTGACTCTAGTCTCTAAACCCCGGCATATTGATGTGAAAAGATCAACTTGGTGTTATCATTTCATTACTTCTCTTTTCGGATGGCTGATCTCATTCATATCATTGTTTGTATCGTTTTAACCCTTTAATCACCCATCGCGTTTTCGAATTAAGATGTAACAATGTATCCTGCAGTCCCCTCCGCGCTGCTGGCCAATATTCCACTATGGGGAAGAGATGATCCCGCGTGCAAATTTCCCAGCACGTTTTAACTGCCATGTCATTGAGCGGACCATGGTAGCACCCTGCCTGAGTTCCCGACCCCCCGGGCTCGACACAAAACCAGGTCCACCCAACACAGCTGTACACTTTAGGGTCGCGTTTCATGCTGTTCTGCACAGCATTGGCGTATATGGGGACGTCCTCAAGACCCGCAAAGAAGCCCAGTATTCATTGGCTACATATAATAGCATTGATTAGATATGTTAAACATGGGGGGCCGGTTTCCCCCCATGACTATTACATACATGGTGTTAGACTGCGGTCGAGGTAATCAGCAAAGCAGGATTAAGGGCAGAGCTTCATAATTCAAGTTAAACGATTATAATTTAAGGTAGTGTGTTAGTAAATGGGCAATATATTGCTTCATTGAGGTCGAATGACATTTTCTTTCATCTCCTTAATCTGGAAGAATTGGGGAAATAAAGACGTTTTGACATAAAAGACAGGTGCTTGTTGGTATTGGTGGCAGTAAACAGCTTGTATCCTGATGTATACAGATGGTACAATCTTCATACCCTGGGGCTTGGTCGTGTACCACAAAAACTGGTCGCTTGTGAAATTTTGTTACATCCATATTATTATATACGTACAACAAAGAGATGTAATATAACCCAATATGAACTTAA